TCAGTGCCTATAAAGATATACAGCTCTTCATTGCTCCCCAAGTGATCAGTATCATTCCGTTTGCAGTGAACATAATACATAATTTCAGCCCGTCTCTGTTGGCTGCATGACAACTTAAGCAGCATGAGAGATGTTCAGTTACGTCAATTAATTCATATCGCTGTTTCCGAATTATGTTGGTTGTCCCTTTGGTCTCGACTGAGGTTATGTTTAATATCTATCTGTCTAATTATATATCTGTTCATCGGCCTGCCAACCTACCTATTCGCCTCTCTGGATTTCTAGCTATCTGTCGATCCATCGATTGTCCAACCATTTGCCTGTTTCTCTATCGATCTGTGTATCTGCCTATTTACCCATCTTTCTATTTGCTTATATTTATATCTATCTATTTATCTGTATTTCCCTGGATTCGGTTTATCTATCTTACTATTTACCGATGTACCTCCGTACTTACCTACCTCGATAACGAATAATTATTAAAGTTATTTCCCAGAAACATTGCTCTGCACGAATAACTCGATTTCTTGATTTTCCTGGCAGATGTTGTTGCTATGCTGCATCATATCATTTGCCTTCTAGGCAGGTATGGACATCTGTGCTAAATTATACGTTCCATATGTTGTTTGGTGAATTGCGTTGTTCGGCGTTTTCGAGAAAATGAGCTGAGAGTTTTCTGCCTCATTAATTTACTGCAGTTACCAATTGTCCATTTAAGGGAAGCAGGAGCTTGGTTTTTTCTGTCTGGTAGCATTCGTCGCACAGTCACTCAGCTGTCCAGGTCGGATTCTACAGGAAACTCTAAAGACTGGCCGATTAGCCACGAGGCTGATTTTGCACACTGACAGAGTTGCCTTTGACGACGCAATCGCCCGCATCAACAGCCATCAGTGCAGACTGCATCTGGGTCAAGTGCCGTTGAACTAACGACTCTACGATTAGCCGTTGCACGGAGTTCATGATGCACTGCTTTGCTAACTATGGGTCTTTAAAGGGTGGGTAGTAATAAATATGAGGTAGTAGTACATATAAGTAAATAATCACAGGTTCGTTCACAATTAATCGATTGGGCAAGATTTCTATTTTTGAGTCTTCATCATTGGTAAACGGAGGGAGTTCAGGTTATGACCTTCAGCACAAATGGTAAAAGATTTTCGTGCAGCTGTAGCAGCAGCCGCCGCTGAATATTGACATAAAAACCGGTG